AATGTAATTTCCAGCCAGAACTGATTTGTAAAACCACAATGTAAGCTATTTGAACACCAAAAAAAAAATTCCCAGCTAGCTAGCTCTCGATAAGCTAAATTCTCAGCAAGATTCTGTTTATTGCTAAGATTCCCAGCCAGCTCAACTTTAGTCTGCAGGGCGGATATTTTGCGGAGTGGATCCGACGGGTACTCCTGATAATTGAAATCAATATATATACTTGACTGGAAAAATTCATGAAAACCTATACTTAATGTAGATCACTAGTTCCTCTGCTCCCTAATCCTCGGAGACCCTGGGGCTCCTTGTCGGAAGTTGGAAACGATGCGATTTTCGGGCGAAAGTTCACAAAGTTCAAGAGCAAACAAACCCTGGGGCCTGTTTCTCGAAAGACCCGGTAAATTATCGGGCCCGTTATTTGCGAGAGCTTTCGAGAAACAGGCCCCTGGGCACTTATTCTTACCGAACCAGTTCCAGAGGTGTTGGGATTCCGTCCCGAGGATTGGTCAGAAAATTATTTTTCTGGAAAAGGACATATCCTGAAATCATTGTTGCGTCAACTTTTAATATTCCATTCAAGTGAATAATGAGTTCATAAATCTGATCCTCCTTGAGGAGCCAAAACAGCTGTTAGAGGAACACTCTTAGAAACCTTAATATGTGGGTTGAAACTCTACACAAGTTAACAAAATTTCTCACTAATTTTACCACAACATTAAACATGTAAAAACTAACCGCTAATCTGCCGTCTTAAAAATGACGGCAATATAAATATAAAGTAGAACTCTAACGTGCTCCCCTGCTGAGTAGATACTCCACAGCTTCAGCTTTACCATGAGCTGCCCCGATCATCAATGGAGTTTTACCATTACTATCTTTTAAATTAATAGCAAAATCACGTGACAGCATTGTCTCGATGATGGCGACATTACCACCATAGGAAGCCCCGTGCAGTAAGTTCCTTCCATACGAGCCTTTCAAAGACGCATCTGCTCCCTTATCTAAAAGATACTTTACGGCCTCCATCTTGCTAATCAAAGCCGCAATCATCAAGGGAGTATTACCTTGACTATCTTTTGAATTGATATCAAAACCACGTGACAGCATTGTTTCGATGATGGCGACATTACCACCATAGGAAGCCCCGTGCAGTAAGTTCCTTCCATACGAGCCTTTCAAAGACGCATCTGCTCCCTTATCTAAAAGATAGTTTACGGCCTCCATCTTGCCACAAAAAGCCGCGATCATCAAGGGAGTATTACCATNGTGCCTGTGAGTAGAGGTTTTTATAGTATACCGAAACTAACAGAATTCGTCCACAACAAAAGCAAAACATTATTTAGAATCGCTTCGCATTTCTGAACCAATATCGAATACTCTCACAGGGTTTCAACTTCAATTTTTGTAGGTATTATTCTGTGAGAGTTGACACCGGAGTCAGAGTACGAATTTTCTCTACGTGTCGAAACATCGAGATTTTCTATGCCCAAGCTCGAAAATTTCCTCAACCGCAAAGCCAAAATTATAATTGAAATCGCTTGACATTTCTAAATAAAGATCTACAGTTTTAAGAAGGATTGGATGGGTTTTTTCCGTGGAAGTTTTAGAATAATTTCAGACTGCCGGGTATATAGTATTTTAAAAACACTTCCCAGCTGCCGGGTATCTAGACACAGTGTTTTTATTATGCTGTGGAAATTTCAAGGTTCATTATCTTCCATCTTTACACCGACCAATTATTATTTTCTAATTTCTATGGAAAATAGCGATGTCGAACGGTTTCATGACTGCCATTATTTATCGTGAAGCCTTCGAATGTAAGTCTTTAAAATATTTCTCAACTGTTCAGAGTTGCGTATTTAAACTTGAGCTTACATTAAACAAGCTTTCTGTCTAAAGTTTTGTCCGTCTTAACTTACTGTCTTATGAAAGACTGCATTTACCTTATGATTTTCCTGTAATATGTTAAGTCTGAAGACTTTCTTTCGAGTAATTCAAATCATGAAACTTGAAAGCAGTTGCAGATCAGTCAACAACATTGACATTAGCTACCAGTTTGCATGTCTCGATAATGCAGTGATAAATTATAGAGGTTTTGAAACCCCCATCCCTTACTGTTCAGAACCAATTTGAACTCTCAAATTTGAAATCATTTTTCTGCTTCTGCAAATGGGAATGTCCAAAATGGACTATTTGCTGGGCACAGACTCAATGTGAACTTTTACTAGGTTGAGGTATTTCATTTACAAGTTATTGATAAGTGAAAATACAGACAGCAGCTTCTGCTCACATGCTTTGGCATAATTTGTGCTGGTGATAAGCATCAGTTTATTTGTGTGGTGGGAGAAAGCTCTGCCATACTTCTGGATATCAAATAGGGCTGCAATATACTCATCTGCTGAGGGAGATAATCTATGGAATTTACGAAATAGAATTAGGGAAGGCAAATGAGCCATGTTACTCGTAGTTGTGGCTAGTGGTGAGGTAGGCAGGCAAAATGGTCATTCATCCAGACAACTAACTTTAACTTGAGCAAACCAGTGTCAAAAGAACCTCCACAACATTTGAAATAGCCAAATTTTGAGACTTGGCTTAAAGCTTTTGAGAATAACAAGAGAAGAGATCAAGCGTAGGGATCAGTAACAGTCTTTTATCCCCCAAGTCTACAGCCCCTAACCGTTTAACCCCCAACCGGAAGTCGAGTAGCCCCAACCAAAAATAAAAAACCCTGTATATTTCTCGTTCTCTAACTATGAGTAAGGAGCTAATCGACTTGTAGTTGGGGGCTACCCGGCTAGGGGCTAATGAACTTGAGGGCTAAATGACCGGTAACCAAAGGATCAGGTTTGTTTATTCCTCTAAGGCAAAATGATGAGTAAGGATGTTGATATATCAAATTTGGCCTTAAGTGTTGATTATCAGTGGCTTGTTCCTGTAATGGAAGGATAGCTAACTAAGACAATAAGAAGACTAATATAAAGTCATATGAATGAAGTCTTTAATAGTACTTGTCTCAAATGGCAATTCTTAGTGCAAGAGAGGAGCATGAACCCTTTGAAAACTGATTGAGAGGTGGCATAAAAAAATAGTGCCCGGGAAAGGGCTACAGAAGGTGCACCAAAATGAGGTGGTAAAGTCAAACTTCCCGCACACTCTCCATCTCAACGAAATGATTGGACCCATTATTTAAGCCGTTAAGTCAAGAATATCAAAACAAAAGTCTAAGGATGATTATGAAGAAACAAAAACAATCATTATCAACACAACTATTGTGTTGTAACCAAAGAGATNTTTAAGCCGTTAAGTCAAGAATATCAAAACAAAAGTCTAAGGATGATTATGAAGAAACAAAAACAATCATTATCAACACAACTATTGTGTTGTAACCAAAGAGATGATGATAAATTCTTAATTCTGCCCAGGCACCTCTCCAGCTCTCACTTTGATAAATAATGCCAGATGCTTTGCAGACCTCTTGTAGTAACGTAACAAAAGCGACTTACCGACTGCACCTGCTTTAACTCTGTCAGTTAAGTGCAAACAAAAAGGGTCACGAAGCTGTTAAGCTGTTCAAAAAAGCACCCCTTACCATCAGTGAGTCCGGAAATATAGAAATACTTCAGTCTATCCCGCTGATAGAACACCGCTACAAAAAATGCTCGAATGAAATATTAAGTAAGCGCCATGATGCAATCGGTCTCACACTGAATTAAACATCGACATTTTTAAAACTCGTAGTGGAGTTCCCTCTTGCATGTTTACGTTGGAATAATTATCCCCGATGCCTCAAAATGTCCAAGATGTAGATGTAGGGCAACTGGAACTTTTTCTTAGATGCTTGAAAGTGAAATATGCACGAAGTGTACAACACGTTATAAACGCCTCCCGCTCACGGGAGTCCGCCATATCTGTTTTGCAAAAACCAGTACTTAGTCCTGCTCGGCTAAATTTCTTAACCGGGGCGATCATAGAAACTCGGTTCCAGGCCTCGCTGTTTGTTGTTGGTTAACAATAGGCGGTTTAATCTCAAGCACTTTCAACTCTCGCTGGATCTTATCACTAACAAAAACCGGTCGAATGACATTGTGGGTCTTTAAGCTCAGTTCTTTCAGCTGTTTACGGAGCAATTTAAAAATAGTAAATATATTGTGTCGAAATATCCTGATTCTTTTATTTGTTTTTATTGTGTTTGTAGGATTTCACGTGCGAATTTTTATTTTAGCTTGTCATTTACGTATGCAAATTAGGACTATTTAAAACGCTACGGTTTCCTAGCGCGCCAATCTTTTCAACGTTTTCTCTAGCTTCAAGTTAATATTGTTGCGGAATCTATTCTACCTAGCTTCACCGTCTTCGCCACAGTCAGGAAACATTTGTAAGTCTTTATATTCTGTCCTGTATTTCTCATATCGCTCGGCTCTTCTTCACATGTATTTTTATTTATTTTTCTAGTCGAACCTCGCTCGCACTATCTTTCAATTCTCAACGGGCTCCTCGAGTCTCTTCAACAGAGCGTGAGTTCGAAATCTCTAGACGTAGCGTCAACAAGAGCAGTAAGCTACACTGTTGTCTGTAAGCTCAGGTCTTTCAGCTGTTTACGAAGCAACTTAAAAGTAGTAAATATATTGTGTCGAAATATCCTGATTCTTTTATTTGTTTTTATTGAGTTCAATAAGCTTACTTGTGAAGTACAACTTGATCTGCATTAGTACGAAGTCCGAGTAAACGCTCTTAGAGCGTATAGTTTATAATAAAGGAAACTCGATTTCTCTGAAGATCTTTTGCAGCTAACCTGCAAGCAGAGTCGCTTCGATCGAGTGACGCGGAGTTCAAATAGAGTCCAAATATGTGATAAACCATTCCCCTAAAAGATTTTCCCCAAAAGGAGTACCTTCGCGAAGAACAGAAGGATTGCTTAAAAAATATGGTCAATGGAAGATGTCTTTGTAATCCTACCCACCGGTTTTGGAAAGAGTTTCATGTTTCAACTCTTTCCACGA